ATCTTATTTTTTATATATTACATGTTATATATATATATATTATATTATATTATATATTATATATTTTATATATTATATATTTTGAAATTTATATTACATATTATATTATATATAATTTTATTGTAATATATATTATATATATACATTATTTTATATTACATTATGTTATACTATATGATATTATATATAATATAGTTTATATTTTATATTATATATTAAATATTAGATATTATATACTATATTATATATTATCTATTGCATATTATATTGTATCATGTTACATTTATATTATACTATATGACATTATATTGTATTATTATATATATATATATATATTATATATTTTATATAATATCTATAATGTACAATATATATATATAATGTATATATATATATTATATATAATGTATATATAATATACATTATATACTATATGTATATATATATTACGTGTGTATATGTATAATTATACATATATACATTACAGTAAATAATATTTATAAGATTTTATATATGCGTTTTTGTTTGCAAAGGGGGTATAACCGGCAAGAGAATGTATCTAGATCAAGAGGCAAAGCAACAAGAGCAGCTTCCCCGTCGAACAATTGACAAAACTGGTTTTGGAATATGAATCTCTGGGTGGAAGTAGTGTCTTTTAGTGGTTACATTTATTTGTTCAGGGTGTACTGTTTCATTTATATAGTCTGTCTACCTGATCACACCGTGAAGAGGATGATGATCCTTTGAGGAAGTTGCAATAGCATGGATTGTTGTGCAACAAAAATGTGGGACTTTTCCCAACAGACATGGTGAAACCGGAAGATACTGTAAACCAGAAAACATGGAGAAAAAATCCAAAGCTTTTTGGCAGTGTGAATTGATTTCAATTTACTTTGAATTGATTTCAATTTACTTTCAATTGATTTCAAATTTACTTTAAATTGATTTCAATTTATATACTTTGAATTGATTTCAATTTACTTTGAATTGGTTTCAATTTACTTTGAATTGATTTCAATTTACTTTGAATTGATTTCAATTTACTTTGAATTGATTTCAATTTACTTTGAATTGATTGCAATTTACTTTCCATTGATTTCAATTTACTTTCAATTTACTTTCAATTGATTTCAATTTACTTTGAATTGATTTCAAACTACTTTGAATTTACTTTCAATTGATTTCAATTTACTGCCAATTTACTTTCAATCGACATCCCATAGAAATCCAATAGTAGTCCCAAAGAAATATCATAGAAATACCATGGAAATCCCATAGGAATCTCACAGAAATCCCATAGAAAGATCATAGAAATAACATGGAATAGCATAAGAACCACAAAAGAAACCCCATGAGAATTCCAATAATAATCCCATAGAAATATCATAGAAACATCATGGAAATACCTTGGAAATCCCACAGGAATCCAATAGAAATTCCATAGGAATCCAATAGAAATACCACAGAAATCCCATAGAAATCCTCCAGAAATATCATAGAAACATCATGGAAACCCCATGGGAATTCCATAGAAATCCAGTAGTAATACCATAGAAATACCATAAAAGAAAAAAGTTTTAGCAAAGGAAAAGGTAAAGGGAATGTTTGAAAAAAAAACACACCAGGAAGCATCTGGACACAATAGTGTACCTTCCAAACAAACCACACTATTGTGTATCAGGGTTGCTCATGGACTACCCCCTTGAAAAATTGTTTGAGTGATGATTTTTAATTGGGTTTTAATAAGGCATCATATATTTTAGGAAACTGGTCATTTCTGAGAATTTCAAATGAAAGAAACTAAGAAAGTAATTAAGTAATTAAAAGAAAAAAACTTTAGCAAAGGAAACGGTAGAGGAAATGATTGAAAAAATCAAAAAATCATGACCTCAGGAAGCAGCAGGACACAATAGTGTACCCTCCAAACAAACCACACTATTGTGTATCAGGGTTGCTCATGGACTACCCCCTTGAAAAATTGTTTGAGTGATGATATTTAATTGGGTTTTAATAAGGCATCATATATTTTGGGAAACTGGGCATTTCTGAGAATTTCAAATGAAAGAAACTAAGAAAGTAATTAAGTAATTAAAAGAAAAAAACTTTAGCAAAGGAAAAGGTGAAGGAAATTATTGCAACAAAAAAACGAAATCACCTCAGGAAGCAGCAGGACACAATAGTGTACCTCCAAACAAACCACACTATTGTGTATCAGGGTTGCTCATGGACTACCCCCTTGAAAAATTGTTTGAGTGATGATTTTTAATTGGGTTTTAATAAGGCATCATATATTTTGGGAAACTGGGCGTTTCTGAGAATTTCAAATGAAAGAAACTAAGAAAATAATTAAGTAATTAAAAGAAAAAAACTTTAGCAAAGGAAAAGGTAAAGGAAATGATTGAAAAAATCAAAAAATCATGACCTCAGGAAGCAGCAGGACACAATAGTGTACCCTCCAAACAAACCACACTATTGTGTATCAGGGTTGCTCATGGACTACCCCCTTGAAAAATTGTTTGAGTGATGTTTTTAATTGGGTTTTTATAAGGCATCATATATTTTGGGAAACTGGGCATTTCTGAGAATTTCAAATGAAAGAAACTAAGAAAGTAATTAAGTAATTAAAATTAAAAAAACTTTAGCAAAGGAAAAGGTAAAGGAAATGATTGAAAAAAACAAAAAATCATGACCTCAGGAAGCAGCAGGACACAATAGTGTACCCTCCAAACAAACCACACTATTGTGTACCTGGATGTAATTTTCTGAGGAAGGCATTTGGAAAATGTCAATGGTGGAAAATAAACAGTAAAAGAAAAAAACTTAAAAACAATGAAAAATTGAAAATAAAAAATGTTTGAAAAAACAAGACCAAGACACAATATTGTACCCCAGACAAGATCAAGACACAATAATGTATTTGACACAAATAAATATAATGTTTAAATTTGTAATTTGTCAAACAAATGAATGATAATCATTAATAATTTGTCAAAAAATTGAATGATAATGATTTATAATATTTATTATATTATTTGTTTTATTTGTTAAATTAAAAATTAAATGATAATTAATTAATTATCATAAACAAAAAAATATAAAATAATTTAAAACAATTTAAAACTTAAACAAAAAAATGAAAAAAACTTACACCAAAATCCTGTGGACACAAAACTGTACCCTCAAACATTTCCAAAGTACAGAATAATTTTGGAGTCTGTGGACACAATTGTGTATCCCCACACTAATCTGTATCCCACATTACTTTGGTAGGAATTCCCCTATTGATCATTAATCAATGATTGACTTCAAATACCAGCAGGTTCTGTGTGTTATTTATTGGATGTGAGGGGCAGGGGTGGGGGATAATGTTCTTCCAAAACTCCAATGCTCGCAATGCATTGTCCGTACCAGCGTGATCAAATTCTTTGCACGACTTTGCACTCCAAAAACAAACTACAGTCGCTGATGTTCAGAGCGCCTTCTATATAAGAAAGACTAAAGAGCACATGTGTTAAGAATGGATCCTGCGGCTCAATTTGACTCAACACGGGAAACCTATCAGGCCCCAGACATCGTAAGTATGGATTGACAACTGGTTGCTGGGGGCACAGGCCAAGCCAGTCCCACGATAGACTTGAAGGGATTGATTTAAAACAAATTTAAAACAAATTGAAACTGCAAAATCTTGATACTCGCTCAGTCCTCACACTGTCTTGGGACCCCAAAACCTCAAAACTTGGCAGACTTGATAGGCAGACGTTCTACTGCCATTCCAAAGTAATTACCACGGGGGAGTGATTTTCAAACAACTCCAACTCCAATTTTGTTAGACATACACTTCACATCACTGACAATAAAGACATCCTAATGCCTTCATACTCTCACAGTTATGGTCGTTGTTTTTTCGCGCGGGGGGGGGGGGCAGGGCGTGCCAAAAAAGGTGCTGGAACTTGGTCCTAGAACGACGTTTTGGATCACAGATTTCCCGTTCTGGGTCCAAATTGGCGATGTTTCATCAAAATTGTCCTTTTGAAGATCAAAACCATTCAAAACCAATCTATCCATCCACTATGATGATAGATTTTGCTGATGGTTTCGACCCATACTCAAGAAAGTCCTGATGACCTCATGATTTTGTCCATCATTTTGCAGTTGATTCTGCTGGGTTTCCTCATCACCCAGCTGTCCCCGGCCACTAAAGGCCCTGCCGTGCCTGTAGTTCTGGCTACGCTCCAGCCCCTTGCAGCCTGCAGTAAGCAATACGTAGGTTTCACAGTTTCGAAGCTGCAGTTTCTGTGGAACATGGATCGGTCTTGAACATCCAGGTGGATCCATCCAGTATTTTACGCCACTGATTTCAATCATGGCCAAGTGCCAATGGGGGTCAATGTGGGAGACAATAACAAGACGATTTGACGATTTGACAGAGAGTGTATCCTCTCAAGATCCCACAACTCAGCGAAAACGTGGGTGCAGAAAAAACACGTGCGACCCTGTACTGTACATGATTTTGCGACCACAAGTGCATTGTTTTGTCAATTAAAAAATGCATATCCATAATATATGACCAACACAAGGGTATGCTGTCCATTTTTTTGCAAACAGTCCCAAATCTCAAAAGCTGGGTATGCCATGGTATGCCATACAAGTTTCTGAATCAGTTCATGTTTTCATGTTAGGCATGCCCAATCAAAACATCAAACCACCCAAAGGCACAAGTTGTTGGTGTCGTTGCTCTGAATTCCATTTACATGTACGACATCATTTTTTCAAGCATAGTCATCGAATGAGTCCAGATGATGTGACCAAAAAAAGGTATGGTGCTGCGGAGATAGGAAACATATGAAAACATTGTTCCATTGGTTTTCTTGATTTTTACCTCTTATGAATCTTATGAATTGGTTTCTTTATTCTCAGGGATGATTCTTAACCTACCATTCAACTGCGATGCCCCCTGAACTTGTGGCCGTTTGGTCCATCCTTGGTTCAAAATCACCGAGTTCTTAGCTCGTAGATCCAAAGACCTCCCTGGTCGAAACGAGGCGGGATCAAACACCGTGGCCAACGGGGAAAATGTTGTTGCTGAATTTGCAGTATGGTGATTTACTATGATTTACTATGATTTACTACATGATTTATTACGATTTATGACTAGTTGGTGATTTCATTCTGTTTCTCCTAATTTGGGATGATGATCCCAACTGGCTGTAGACTATCACTTTTGCTGTGGCTGCTGAGGTGGCATTGTTCGCTTGCGGCAAACAGATCCGGTCATGAACACGAAACTTCTCGAGTCGGATTTCACTGGTTGATGAGCACTCTGAACGATCAGATTCATCGTTCCCCTTTGTTTTGAAGCATAAATTGAGACAGAAATCTGTGAACAGATGTGAAATTTGAAAATCATATTGCCAGCGGTGTGTGTTTTGTATGACCTTGATGGCTGATGGCCTTGATGACATAGTAATCCCATCCCCCCCCCAAAAAAAAAACTCCCCCTTGTGTGGTCCCAAGGGTTTCTTGGGGACATTTAATGAATATTCATTCATGGGATGGGATTAAATATGACATATGATCACATGTTGAGTCAAATGTCCTCTCAGAATGTTGCTGAGTTTTTTGTCCCACTCAGTACGGCCACTAGATGCCACTAAAATCCTAATTCCCTTGGCTGGTTGGTGGTTTCAGATATATTATATTAATTTATATTATATATTTCTGATTTTCAACTCTATCAGGGAGGATGATCGTTTAACAATGCTAGGGGATTGATACTGGCTGCTACTACTGTACCAGATTGTTCTATTTTCCAAATTTCACCTGTAGATGTGCCGAACGTTTCCTGGGAGCTCTGCTTGTGATACATATGGCACCGCCAGCGGGTGACAGACCAATCCTGAGCGCCGGTCGACATGATTGGGCAATACGGCAAAGAGGAGTGTTTTAATCAACAGAAACGGATAAATGATGATAAATGAATATATATATATAATATTATATTATATATATTTTATTATATATATATATATTATAGCGAATTTCAACTGATGTCAACTAAGAAACAATATATGATGTCATGGGTATATCACGCCATACCACCGCAAGCCCACTCTAAGCTGTGTCAGGACATGACGAGCACGCAGGGGCCCATGTTCATTCCGCTCCCGCCTGGTCTTGCTGACCTCAGCCTCTCGGCTTTAACCCACCAGGGCTGCCTGGGAAAGGGCGCTGATAGAAGATCTACCCTACAGATCCCTACAGTATGATGGTATGTCATGTTATATCAAGTGGGTGGGGATCTGTTTTGTTTGTCATCCGGCTTGGGAGTTGGGATGTAAGAATAGTTCTTCTATTCGCATGAATTTGGGAGGTAGTTTATTACTACTTGTAGTATTTGGATGTATTTTGGATCATTGACTATCTTAAAGTTTCAGATACTTTCAGATTGATAGTCCTGAAATGTCCTGAAGCACTATTTATCCTGAAACGTTGTCAAGCCTTTTGTCCTTTTCAAAGGTAGCACATGTTTCACGACTTCCCTGTCATTGGATGGATTTTTGTTGCGGATCCAAGAACTCTTTCCTAGACCCAGGATGACCTAGGTTCTGATAGATATGATATGACATTATTATATATGATAATATATATATACACATAAGATATGATATATATATATATACACATAAGATATGATATATATATATACATATATGATACATAGGGATTCAAGATTCCCAAGCATTTCCCGGCCACGCACGTGGCTCACGTCCCCTGTTTTGCATAATGTGAATAATATCCTCAATCTTTATGGCTTGAACAGGCATGGTTACACGCATGTTTCATCGTTCGCCAATGCCCCAATGGTTCGGCCCAAATCATTGAGCTGAATTTGCGCCCGAACCTAGGAGCCTATCGCCTTGAAACGTGCAGCAATTCTCTTGAGCCGTACGACCTCAGGGCTGGAATTTTTCACGGCGGGCGTCCAAATCCCAGATTCAGATGCGGGCGTTTTTCATGGGGTAAGAACTGGTTCATGTTATGCTGTAGTTTCAAAAAAGATATGGATGATATGGTTCCCATTAGTTTCCCGATTTCCTATTTTCACTCAAAGATTCACTAGGGTCCAACCCTTTGGGTCTGACGTCGAATCCGCACCACGAAATGGCTCAGTAATACTTGATATTTCAGGGCGAAGGATCAGCGCTGGTCTCAATTTTTCCTATATTTGCAATCATTGTCAATCATAGAAATGGATAAAAATGGGATTATCCGCATTGACTTCCACTGTGAAACAGTGGGGTGGCTCAACTGTCCCCAGTGGTGTCACCAGCAGGTATACCTTCGTGCCGCCCCCTGGACTTCCTCCTCCTCCAGGCCAATCAAGCAAAACGTTTGGGATGTGAACGGGCAAGATTGGCAGATTGAAGATACCGGAGTATAATTATTAAAAAAAACTGATTTGTCAAGTACATGGGCTTCTCACCCAGCCATTGGGGATTTACTACACCTCCTGACTCAAGAACGAATTATTATTCTGTAAGGCGGGTAAGGCGAATGGCTTTGTCAGATAATCCCCTTGTCAAAATTGAGTTCTGTTAATCTGCAACTGGTTGGCTGCTTCAACTTGTTCCAAAACTATTGATGAAATCACGCCGGAGAGGCAACAACAATGGAGAACAATGCAATTCGACGACACAGGAACCCCTGATATTCATCAACTTGTGTTTATACTTTTGCTAGGTGTCTTCTTGTTTTCTGACTGATTGTTTCAACCCATCCTCAAAAAACAACGTCAATTGGCATCCTGGTCCTAGACAGTATCGAAAATGTGAACATACTCATAACCACAAGATCGGTTTATTGATACTACATGATTCAGCTTAGATCTGTCTTAAAATATTTAAGTGTTCTTCCTCCAGCAAAATGATAACATGAAAACATGCATATATATATATATTTACAGAATTTTATAGACTCCACTAAAACACAAGAAACAAAACATTAAATAAACTACTACACGGGACCAGTCGGTTTACTCTAATATGATCAGTTGTTTGAATTTTCACGTTTGATGATCAACACCCATTTGCTGTTGACATTTATCATCATTTCTCACAGCCTGGTCAGCACATAATAGCAGCCCCAAATTGATAGAACAGTTGGAAAACTGGAAGTGATGGGGGTAAACACTATCGATATACAAAAGTCCGGAGACACTGCAAAAGCTTTTCAGAATCTGGAGGCTCGAAACCCTGCTACTTTGACATGATTGTAATGACCATTGATTTTTTTGCAGTGTTGGACAAAATAGCATTCAGAGCATTGCAATACATCTACCCCAGCAAGGCGATCTTCACACCCATTTATCACTTTGGTTTCAAAACTTGGTACCCCAAAAAACTAAATTTTAGGATTGGAATTGACAAAGGTCAATGTATTTCTGCCGTTTCCTATCAATGTATAGTGAGTTTGTAAGAATATGATTGGCGTTCTTTGGGGATCTCATATCTTTTATGGTCAATCGTGACATGTTAACATATATAGTATATATATATATAACTACATGCATATGTATGCAATCGTATGCATATATCATATACAAGATGTTACTTTAACTACCCAACATTCATTGCGCATGGTTGAAAATGCCCCATCATCTAAGCTGGATTTGCTGAGTCGATAGTGTCCCCCTTATTCAGCCATCGATGTTCGTTATGATTATCAGTGTTGATCATTATTAGTTGTCATTATGATTATTATCATTATGATATTATGATATTATGATCATTATTGTTGTTTATTGTTTGTTGTTTGTTGTTTGTTGTTTGTGGTTTGTGTTTGTTGTTGTTGTTGTTGTTGTTGTTGTTGTTGTTGTTTTTCAATACTATCATGATTAATTATTAATGAGTACTATTATCACTATCACTATCAATAACATTGTGGATGATTCTCATCCTTTATGCATTATCATATTATTATTGATCACTAATAATATAATTAATATAATCATAATTCAGAACTGTTATTATTCTGTATTTATCTGATTGGTGGTTTGGAACATTTTTTATTTTTCCATTTGTTGGGAAGAATCATCCCAACTGACTAATATTTTTCAGAGGGGTTGAAACCACCAACCAGTTATGTTATCAGCATATTCCCCCCTCCATCAGCGTTGCGTTGTCGTCGCCCGCCAGGAAAGTGCCTCCGAGATCTTCTCCAGGACTTGGTGACCGAGCCGGCAGGGGGTCTGAGTTGTTGGCTTCGAGATTTTACTGGTTTGATGGGTATAAAAGGGATAGGAAAGCTATGGAAAGCTCTAAAAGTGATGGGGATATATAGGGGATTATAGGGGATATATATATATATAATATATACATATATATATATATACACTGGGATTGGTATCATGGGATTGATAGCTATGATATTTGGGTGTGTCTGAAAATGAGGGAATCAACTCTCAAAATAGCAAGTTTTGGGGGAACATGATGATGCATTCACCCACATTTTTGGTGGATACCATATTTTCAGACAAACCTAGACGCATAACCTCGACTTGGCCGAAATTCCCAGAAAACAGCTTATCTGGAACCAAAGCATAGTTAACATGATGCTTGATTTTGTTGCGCATTGCTCTTGGGAATTACTGTATGCCACACTGACGCCGCTCCTGAATCCTGTTGGTGCACCTAGATCTTCTTTTGATTGCTTTGAGCCGTTGACTCTTGCCAAGATGTGTCAATGGGGCATACTCCCAGAATTGCCATTGAAGGGGGAATGGTTTACGATTGAATATTGATTGGGATTTGATTGGGTAATATTGGGTATGTATTTACAATGATTTACAGTACATTCCCGGATGCTTAAACTGTGTAAAACCCGTATGTTTGATGGTACTCCATCGTGGCCTCACTGCCGAGAGTCAACTCTCCTGAGGCTATGATCGAGGTCGAAGGCCGGGGTTCGTCACCATAGGTTTCAATATGGTTCAAGGAATTCCACAAGGAAATAACATATATATGTATACGATATAACTATGTCAAACAGTTGTTTTTTTGTAGTAACAAAACATGAGAAATGGGGGTGAAAATCCATTGCTATTTGAAAGTACTAGAGAGTGAAGATATAGGGTCAGGCCAGAGAAGTTGAGGACTAAGATTGAGAAGATGTCAAGGCAAGCTGTTTTGAGGCAGTACAACAGCTGGCAGGTTTCTAACCACAAGTCCCGGGATCTTAGATCCTGATCTCACTCTGCTCAGAATGGTAGCTTGTTGGTTGATGATTTTCTTTTTGTTTGGAGGTTTATATGTCTGTAAAAATGACCAGACTGGTGGTTTCACCGCTTTTTTGTGGGATGATGACCAGACAGTTCAACTGGCGCAGGTTTTTCCAAGGAGAACTTGGCAAGATGGCATCCCGAATCCGTTGGTACCAGGCAGCTCTTGTGGTGCACAGCTTATTCATTGACCATGGATATATCATAAAGATTTGACCCACAATAATTGGGGGTAAATATGGAGCATTTAACAATACTTCTATCCGTCCCCAAAAAGATAGAAAAGCGTTTCCAGGAGGTTATAAATTATATTTAATACATATGTCCAGGTTTTTCCACTATTCTATCTATTAGGGGGTTGCTATAACATAAATAGCTCTCAAATAGAGGGAATTAAGCATGAATAAATGAAGATTTGATCGGAACAAGGCCTTTGGGCATAGCTCTTATGGCTGAGTTTGTTTTGTTCCGCTGAGCTAGGGCAGGGATGAATATCATCCCACTGTGACAGACATGTGTATAGTGGTATAACTATATACATATGTGTTTGTGTGTGGGTCTATCCATACACATCTACATCATCTCATCTATAATATATATATATATAGCATATATATATACATATATATATATATACATGCATACCTATACATCCTGTATACGCCAACGCTGGAAATCCCATTTGCCCCCGCACACGTTCGGCAAAGCCAGTCCTCAAAAGAAAACTTCAGGTGTTCAACCGACGAGCCAGCCACGCCTCCGGTGCCATGCCGGGGTTGCCACCGGAGTTTACTTCGGGGTTGCAGTTGTGTTGATAAAACATGATAAAACATGATAAAATTTCATAAGTTGGGATATAAGCCCTACAACTATGGTCATGTTATATATCCGCTAATGACTGGAACATACTGGAACAACATAAGTAGGTTCGCCATGAACAGTGGACAAAAACTGAGTCCTGTTTTCGTCCGTTACCAGCAGCAAATGTGAGGATATGAACAAATATATTACTGCAGATCATATGTTATTTTATTTATAATCTATTATATGAAATTACATTATACGTATTGTATTATATTATATTATATTATATTATATTATATTATACGTATTATATTATAATATACGTATTATATTGTATTATATTGTATTACATTATATTATATTGTATTATATTATATTATAGTATACGTATTATATTATATTTTATTATATTATATTATATAGTATATTATATTATATAGTATATTATATTATATATCATATAGTATATATTACATTATATATTATATATTATATATTATATTTTAAAAATTATACCTTATATTATATATATTATATCTTATTTTTTATATATTACATGTTATATATATATTATATATTATATATTATATTATATATTATATATTTTATATATTATATATTTTGAAATTTATATTACATATTATATTATATATATATAATTTTATTGTAATATATATTATATATATACATTATTTTATATTACATTATGTTATACTATATGATATTATATATAATATAGTTTATATTTTATATTATATATTAAATATTAGATATTATATACTATATTATATATTATCTATTGCATATTATATTGTATCATGTTACATTTATATTATACTATATGACATTATATTGTATTATTATATATATATATTATATTTTATATAATATCTATAATGTACAATATATATATATATAATGTATATATATATTATATATAATGTATATATAATATACATTATATACTATATGTATATATATATATATTACGTGTGTATATGTATAATTATACATATATACATTCCAGTAAATAATATTTATAAGATTTTATATATGCGTTTTTGTTTGCAAAGGGGGTATAACCGGCAAGAGAATGTATCTAGATCAAGAGGCAAAGCAACAAGAGCAGCTTCCCCGTCGAACAATTGACAAAACTGGTTTTGGAATATGAATCTCTGGGTGGAAGTAGTGTCTTTTAGTGGTTACATTTATTTGTTCAGGGTGTACTGTTTCATTTATATAGTCTGTCTACCTGATCACACCGTGAAGAGGATGATGATCCTTTGAGGAAGTTGCAATAGCATGGATTGTTGTGCAACAAAAATGTGGGACTTTTCCCAACAGACATGGTGAAACCGGAAGATACTGTAAACCAGAAAACATGGAGAAAAAATCCAAAGCTTTTTGGCAGTGACTCCATCAGCCTGAAGCTGGGCTTGGGGCAGATTCAAGATCTCCCCCCCTTTTGAAAACTATGCTAAAATGGCCCTCCATTTTCAGAATCCACTACTATCTCCCCAGTGGAATCAAGGTCCACAGTAGCAAGGCTAAGTCCGTAGCCAGGATTCAACTTCAATGCACTTGAGCTGTTTTTCAATGTCGGAGATCTACCAAAATCTCTAGAAACAAGGAGCTATTATTAGTTGACCACCATCACAACTCCTGGAAAGATTCTCAAAACTCCAAGTGTGCCAAAAAGAAAAGAGGACTACCTTCCAGGAATCAGAATCAAACATCCTCATATCTATGTCCATCATACATATATATATATATATATTATATACACATTACATATATCAACTTGATTTCTAGATGTTTTTTCATTGTACAACATCCATTGGAATTCCGCCAGGCAGCACGTGCAGAAGACCTGGATGGGGATTGGTCCATTGCCACGAGCGCAAAAACCGCCCAAGCGTCGCAGATCCCAGGGAAGTGGGTTTTCCATTGATCCCTGAAAGCTGATACCTTTCAATTGGAGGAAAATTGAAAGGAATCTACCATATAGATGTACATACATGTTATATATATATATACATATTATATATATATATATGTATACATATGTATACATATTATATATACATACTTATTATATATTTATATATATTCAATATATATATATACTTATTATATATTTTCATATTATATACATATATATATATATCCATAGGATTTTCTTGAAGCTTGTAGTAAAAGGGCCCCAGATGTCACATGATCTCTGGAGATTTGTTCCGTCACAGTGTGTGTGTTTTGCACATGTCCAGTGCATTGATATTTCTGATCCATGGGGATCCGTTCATGGGGATTTTCTGGGGATTTTAATGGGATTTTATAAACCATACTATAGTGATTTTTCATGGGATTATCATGGGAATATATGGGAATCATGGGAATATGACATCTGAAAGATGATAACCCTATAGAGTCTCATAGATATACATAAAACGGATTAGGGCCTAAGGTGGAAATACTGTATATGAATTCTACATAATTCTACATGAATGTAGACATCGCGGTCGCGTGTGAATTGTAGAGCCCCGAAAAAAAGTGTTCATCCAGAAGTTGAACCTACCCACTGAGGACGCAGACATTTGAGGATGAGGCTGGCCCTCTGGTAATTTGACATGGTTTGCTGGAAAAACCCAACGTCTACTGGGAACACATGGTACCACTGGTCAGAAAGATTGTGGATCTTATGCCCATTAGTACAATATGACAAACAGGGGATGCACATTTTTTTTGTGGGCATAGCAGGAAGTGTAGATGGCCAAAAAATATTGAATCCACCAATTTCATGAGCGTACTTCAGGTAGGTGAGACGTTTGAAATTTCACAGACTGAGTCAAAGCATGCAAATGCATCCATGTTAGAAGATGTGTTGTGGTGCATATGCGCAAAATGGGTTGACTTGATGTCATATGATTCTATACGACATATGTGACATATGTAAACGTATGATTCAATGATGATGTTTACATGTGCATCGTAGCAACCAATGTAAAGATGATCACGAAGCCAGACGTCTCATGTGCTCACCCAGCTAATTGGCAACATGTTTGGAGCCATTTTCCTCGATAAGTCCAAGCTTTCTGCGGGTAATATTTCAAAAGAACTTCATGCGACAGTAACTGTCCAAAATCTGTGAAAGCCAAAGTCATTTGGCTGGACATGCTTAGAATCGAGCGGAGAAAAGAACGGGTCTGAAGCTTTGTGAAGGATCATTCGTGAGTATGTGTCTGAAAATGGGTACCCGGAAATCACATGAGCAGTGTTCAAGTTTCCCCTGCTGGTTGATGATTAGTTCGGGGATGAAAATCACCCTTCATATATTGGGGATTATTTCATCCAAGAACGGGGAATCCCTATGAACAAACCAGTATTTCATGTTTGTTTCCCATTACTCATATACGAACCATGGTGCTGGAATATTTACCAACATTTGCCCAACATAAATCACCCAGTTTTGTAAATATACCATAATATACCAGCACCATGGTTCGCATATGGGTTATGTAAATGGCGAACTGTTCAACGGGTTGATCGCCAAGGACATCAGACACATCCATGTCATCACGGAGTTGTGCGAAAGTCAAGTCCTCCCAAAAAATCGCCCTTTTCAACGCTATCCTGTGGGTTTGGGGAGGGGACCGCCAATAAGATATACGTAATTATACGTAAATATATACATACACATTTTTATATAATAGTTAATATATATATATATACATAGTGTATATTATATATAATAGTATATTATATAGATATATGCATAGTGTATAATATATATATATATATATACATAGTGTATATTTATTTTGTAAACTATAGAATGTATATATATATATACTATATATATATATCATATTATGTTATATTATATCATATATATATATTATTATATAGTGTATATAATATAATATATATATATGATATTATATATATATATAATTAGGCTCTATGGATCCTTCTGAGGAAGTATTTGGGGTATGCATTAGGTGGTTAAGTACCTGAAAGAATTTAGATCTATAGGGAGGGTATGCGTGTATAGATGTTCTATGCTTAAGTACCTGCGTGGTAAGTTCACTGAGAATGCCTAGTTCCCGTTACCGTTGATCCCATCACAGTGCACTACTGCGTGACAACCATGTTTTGGACAACTCCTTGCCATCAATAAGAATTGGCTATGTCACCATATTTGTTGATGCTAGGCAAAACCATTCCCAAGAACGGTGAGCTGCCGCAACTTACCGACAAAATTATAGAACATCGGCAATGTTTCCTGAATGTTGCCAACAAAATATTCAAGAAATCACATGAAATCACCATAAACCACAATAATGTTGGTCTATAAGAGTAGTTTTCCAAAACCAACACCTGGAGTCTCAGCAGGAGGAGTTCGTGCAGCCCTGGTCTGGATGCCGAGCGTGGCCGCGCCATATGGGATCCCGGAAGTGGATCAACGCTCATTTTTAATGAGAAAAATATGATGTTTAAGATGTTTAAGGGTATCAGATGAATTTCGTGGGTTACAATGAGTTAAGAACTTGGGATCAACCATGATCAACCCGTCAAATTGATGGTGTTTTTCCATTTTAACCCATCAGATTTAGGGGTATCCTAGTTTCAGACCCCACATGATTTATTTTTGCTTTGTCATTATACTCCAGATGGTTTACCCTTTATCAAACCTGGCAATGGAAAACTGTCGGGGGTTCACAGCTTCTGGGTGCCGAATGCATGCGCGATGATTCGATGATCCCTGGACCATGGAAAGGTATACAAAATTGATCAAAATTGCCAAAATGGGTTAACATGGTGGATTTTCCACCGCCACTTTGGCTTACCGGAGGGTCCGGAGGGTAGGGTTTTTGCGAGATGACCTTGACTGATCGAGCCGCTCGAGCCTTCCGGTGAAAGCCAGGTCCCCGGAGTTTGATGAAGCAGAGATCGAAGTTGCTTTGGAACCGGTGTTGAAAGAGATGCTGGGGCAGGACATCGTTAGAACCGGGTGATCTGACCGCCCATTGACAATTGAATTGGATTGGAACCATCAGAATGGACACTTCATCACCCAAAAAGGCTATTTGAGCCTTGTCCGCAATCCCCATGTTCACGAACATTGTATGCTTCAGCAATGATTGATGATTGGTCACTGGTATACCACCCTTCTTCAAAAGGCAAAGGACATAATTGACAGCGGGACAGGGCAAGGAGGGTCATTGGATTGTCTCCACAGGGAATGAACTCAGGCGCTTCTTGGTTTTGGCGGTGGTATGACAGTGGTATGATCAAAAGTGTTTCTTCCACGGAAACCTTGTGCAACGTGGAAATTTGACTGACACAGCGGAAACCGTGAAACTATAACCCAACGCCCCGACGCGTCCAGTTGCCTGTATATTAGAAACTGGCCCAGTTACCAACCTCACAGCCAACCAGACGGAACCGGAACCAGGCACCACGATTCCAGGTAAATTTGGACATATGTGTGAGGGTTTGACAATATATACATGTTTGATCATGTTTGTACGCTTTGAGACGTTGAGATCAATCTGTTCACAAAAAGAAGTCATGATACGGAAACCGTGAGGAAATGGGGTGGAACGGTGGAACCTATGAGACCATCCCGCGGCAGCCCTTGAGATGGAAACTGAGCCAGGACAAAAGCAAGGGCAAGGCGCGGGAACGGGGATCAACCCCTACAGATGGGTAGAGGTGACCAACAAATATATATAATTAATCTAAAATATATAATATATAGTATATGATATGTAATAAATAGTATATAATATGTAATATATAAAATATATAAAATATATAATATAATATATAATATATGATCTATAATATATAATATATGATCTATAATATAATATATATATATCATATATCACATATATAATATATAATATATAATATATAATACATAATATATGATATATAACATATACAATATACAATAGATAATATATAATATTTAATATATAATATATAGTAAACAATATGTAATATGTAATATATAATATATAATATGTAACATATGGTACATAATATATAATATATAGTTTATCATATATAATATTATATAATATATTATATATAATATAGTATTTAATATTTAACATATATAATATATATAATATAGTATATAATATTTAATATATAATATAATATAATATGATATTAAATATAATGTATAATATTATATAGTATGTAATATAATATATAATATATATTTTATAATATATATATTATAATATATATTATAATATATATATTATAAAATATATATTATAATATATATATATTTATATATTGTCATATATATATGTATATATATTGTCATATATATATATATTGTCATATATATATATATTGTCATATATATATATATATTGTCATATATATATATATACATAGTCTATAGTCTATATTGTATATGTAACAAGCAATTACATGGGGCTCGAATTTATGTCCCATGGATTTGGGGATAGCATACATATTTCCACATGATGGCCCATGACTAGAAATGGGGCCGGCTTCCGGTCACTGTTTTGAAGACCGACATATCCAGGCCATCCCTATTGAAATATCATGTTATCGTGTTTTATCATACATTATCCATTTCGGGATGCAATTAATAAGTCATGAATTTTGAATTTTGTTTGACATACAAGCAAGTCGTGGATCTTAACCACTGACTGCGGAAATTCCAAAATCCAGCCAGGTATATAGAGATCTTCCAGCACTCCTTGGGCATCCTTGACATGACTGTACTGATCACATGTGACTAGGACAACCAATGTAACTACCTAAGAGCCACACAGAATCAAGAATCACAAATGATGTGCAGACAAGATAAAGATATTCAATGATATTCATGAATCATAAATGATTCCTCTTCTTTTTCTCTGTTCGCTCACTGAAGTTCCCAGGGAAAGGAGAAAGCTCCAGGTAGTGTGAGGAACTCAGGTTGCTGAAGGGTGACCCGGGTGGTCCGGTGGACCACAATGGCTGGAGTCAGCGGATTTTGAAAATGGTTTGTATCCCGGATATTGCCAAAATTGATCCAAATTGCAAGTTTCTTGGTGAAGATATGTGAAGATTATGAATGACGAACCACTAGAATGAGAATTTTGGGGTCATCCGAAAAGACAGACCATGACAGACCCAAATAGTAAACACCCGATTCCACTTACCGTTTTGCCGTTGTTTTTCTCTCACAGTAGCTTCTGGTTCAAATCCCACTAGTTCGTGCCACCTACTTGTTTTTTATTGATTCACAACTATAAACCCATCAAACTATTATCACCATAAACCCATATAAACCCATATAAACCCCAGTTGTATTATAGTTATAATGCCAAGCACCTCAAGTTTCCACGCTGGTTCCATTTGACAGAAATGTGGTGCTCAGGTGCGATGGTGGACCCGTCCAACTTCGCCACTCTTGTGTCCATTGTCCGGCTTTCCAACTTCTTTGCTGTCGAAGCCTCAAGCCTATTCAAGCCTCATATCTGGCTTTTGGATGCTGAAAAATATCGAAAAATATATACATCCTTTAAGGTTTAATCATGATTAGTCAGTCCAATCTGGCAATCAAAAGCATGAACATATCCATTTATGGATGCAGTTCCAGTCACAAGTTGCGGTGTTCATGGGTTGTCCACTGCAATACTTGATTACCAGAAGGCATGGGTCAATTCCGAAGACACAAGGGACCTCATTTTCTTCGTAGGATTTGTTTGTCCAACCAAGATGGAGCGTGAAAAAAAGGGTGTGGCCGGAGGTAGCTTTGTGTTGGTTGCACCTTCATTTTTCAAGGTCACAATCACGGAGAACAATATAGCACTTTGTCCATTGTTCACGCTGAGTCAAAATTCCAAGTCTGATGGTCGTATCGGACAAATCAGATCCTAGTTTTGGTGGTTAGTAGGACCGCACAAGGCGGCGGCGGAAGTTTCAAAGATAGGACACCCATGTGAGAGGTGAGTTGTTGTGATTCATGGATGGCAGAGCATTTTTTTCGAACAAAATAACAAATCCCACCACTAGGGGTCCCGCAAATACCGCAGATGAGAGACTCGTCTCCCTTTTTTGATGGGGTGAATTCCACTTTTTTGTTTGTTTTTTGAATTTCCCCTTTTTTGCTGACAAAATTTGCCAAACTTCTCGGTGAACATCTTTCCCACCTGGGGGAGCATCCCAGTAAGTCATGAACAAACGATATGATACAATCCCTATCTAATATATATATATATATATATATGCTGTAATTATATACATGACCGTTTGCCAAAAATAGTTGACCAATATTTTGTACCAGTGGTTGATAATTAGTGTGGATCTAGTGGTTTTCCTCTTCATTATGAGGCGGCACGCAACTAAATTCATCAATTCTGAAGGGCAGCGCTAGCAAACCCGCTAGGTTTGCGCTAGGTTTTTTTCACACCCATGTACAAGGATATATATTTTTGAATGTGTTCCTGACTGCTTCCTATTTTAACATGAAAAGTTAAGATGTCACACTCAGCTCCTTAAACCCAAGGATGTCTTAGTGAATTTCTGTGCTGGTCAACAATGTTACTATATTTTTGATTAAGGTTGTTGCTCAAATTTGGGAATTTGTGCGTTGTTTTACCAGCTAGATCCCTGCTAGCAACGCGCTAGCAAAAGTTTCAAAAAACGGCTTTGGCTGACCCGCGACCCAGTCGCCACCAGAGAACTTATAGTTTGTTTGTTTGACAAGAGCAACAGTGATAGCAAAGGCAACGACAAACCCCGCAGCAGATGAAAATTTATTCCAGTTCCACGACTAATAATTAGCAGCGGCACCCACTCCATATAGACGTGTGCTAGGCATTCACTGCAGGTTTTAGCTACGGTTTCAAACGTGAAAGATAAAATGCAGAGTTTCAGACTATTTAGATTTGTTTAGATAAGTCATAGTGTCATAGTTTTAAAAACCAAACAAGAAGCGGCACGCAAGGAATTACGATTTATCAACCAAACCAGAAGAAAACATGTTGACAAACCGTCAGTATATTAATATATATATATATATATACATAAAATTTCATAAACAAACATATGACAGCTATTATTATATCTGATCCATGTTTTTCCCCAATCATTACCCAATACTCAGCAAAATTGCAGTTGATTCTGCAGACCGAGGCCATATCCACCCTTCAAGTTGCGCGTGGATCCCGCGAAATCGACACCACATCGCTTGGTGGATGGCAAATTCCTGGCCATGACCTGTGCCACGACTTGGGACCGCTGTTCAAATTGCTGGATTCAACATGATTTACCCTCTGGTAATTTAACATAGCTATTGAAAATGGCCATTTATAGTGGATTTTCCCATTAAAAATTGTGATTTTCCATAGTTATGTTAGTTCACCAGAGGGTAACCTTTTTTTAGCAATTCAACTGTCCAACAGTGTGGGTTTCACCATGAAATATATGGATGGATACATGATTGATCCATGAAAAATGATGGATTTGACCTTCGATTTGATGGTGATAGAATCACCAATGACCAAACATTTGGAAATTCTGATAATTCATATTATATATATATTATGTATATATATAATATGGATGGGAAATTCTCCAACCAAAATTTCGGATATAACAAATCCCGAAATAAATCCTATGTTTGCTTTGTTGGTTTCATGTTGAAGTTTTGCTTTCCACATTGATGATCCCTGACATCTTTTTTGGGGACAACATCCAAACCCAGGAATTTCACCACTGAATCGTTTTACGTACCCTCTGGTAATGACTAACATAGCTATATTGAAAATGACCATAGAAATAGTGGATTTACCCATTGAAAATTGTGATTTTCCAGAGTTATGTAAACGTATACCAGAGGGTAACAGATGGCGATTTGACCAACACAAGTTGAGAAATGAAGCAAGCAACAAAAAATAATGCTTTCCGACGGAACAGTTCGCGAGATAAGCTGCAAAAACTGGGGTTCCCAAATGGGGATTGAAAATTCTGGTCCCAATTCGACAAGTCCCAATGGAATCACAGAGGGGTTTGTCGTTTTCGACATCCTGGATACAGTGGCCTTGAATCATCTTGAAGCGGACTGAATTTGTTATGTTTGTAATCACCATCATAAAATTACTGCCGAAAAGAAATATGGTTGGCATTTGTTGGCTACAGGCTGCTGCTTTCTTTCAACAATTCGGATCCGTTTTTGGTTGGCGTATCCTGAGTTTTGGTGAGTGAAATACCCTGGTTCCTGTCTTTGTTTTGTTGGTTAAAACCAGCAAACTTGTTGTTTCGGAGTTCATGCTAGATGTCTGGGAGTTGTACCAGATCAATTGGTGAGTAGTTGGTCATGATTGTTGGCTTATGTACCATTAGGCAATCCAATTTGCCCAGGGAAACCCCCCATTTCTAGTTTTTTGAAGATGGGGATTTTGACTAGGTCAGACTACCGAAGCCTACCCGATGGTTTTATCCGCCACCTCCACCAATGATTTTGTATGCTGAGTAGTGGGTAATATACCCAATGAGGTTGCGGTTAAGTCACCATCTATGTATGTTGGTTTGATCTAAATGTTTGATGTTTCAATGACTATATATTTGGCTGGTTTAATCACCTGTATCATGGTTTTTCATCACCATGTTAAATCATCGTTGTTTGATATGTTTTTGTTGCTTCATCCTCGTCAATGATGTTCCCAAACGGTTCCCGAAGAGCACAACGATTTTTTTTTTTGTGCCCAGGTATCGTGACCGGTCGCTATTCTGCTTGTGGTCGGGAGCTCCAGGCGCATAGCTTCGCTCTCTTTTGCGGGGTTACTGCTATGGCATACCAAACAAATTGCATATGTCAACCCAGATTTTCTGAAGATGGGTCGTTTTATTATGTTTTATTGTCCCATTAAGTCACCAGAACTGGGGAATTTCAATGTTGAAGCTTGGATAGCTGAAACAACGATTGGCAAGTGCCCACACGGCTCCTACATTTTTCAAGTGTTTATATAATACCTGTAGATAAGCAAATATGGGAGATGAGATAGTGATGATAATGTGTCCGGATGTCCAAAACGTGTGGCTGAAACATCAAGAAATCAAACTATTCCAGGGCTTACATGGGCTTACCAAGGTTTCAGCCGAATTTTGGGTCTGAACTTTGGTCAAAATCCAGCATTTCATGGTTTACGCTTACCCATGCTTACCCCATTTTTAGGGGTTGGTTTGCACGAAAGATAGCAACCTCGCACAACTAAATCCTCCATGATCTGGTATGCAAGGTTGATAGTGGCCATATCAGGTTTGGAATCTGTTACTTGGTGGCTCATCTCAGTTAGTAAGTGGATTACAACCCTAGTGATAACTGGACATTGGCCCTACTTACCCTATTAGAAACTGGGCTTAGAAGTCACTTGCTGAGATGAACCCCTAAGTACATTTGATGTCATTTGATATTATTTGATACAAGTTTCCTGCAATGGGGGTTACCCCCAAATCCATTTCATTTTCGGATGTTCATGGATTTTCCATGAAAAACCATCCAGCTATTTGAGATCCCTCATTTTGACCCGATGTGCTGCGCAGTCCAGCGACATCAGCGCCTTGGACGACTACATCCATCGTTGCCGGGGCACACAGTTGGAATCGATCGGAGAGTGGATAGGAATAGGATTGCGTTCCTTGAAATAGGGGGCATACCTTCAAGATAATGTCTTCATATATGTTGATATATGCTATGTTAATACAGTATTTGTTCATCTATGTGTTCTGTGATCATCTATGTTCACAAAGTTTACTGGAAATGATGATGATTTCATCAGTGGATTGAGAGTGCTCAATGGGCTTGTCTGATCTTCGGGCCATTTGGACTCTACTGGTATTGCTGTTTGCTGCCCTTTTCGGATTAGGTTTCAGAATCCTGGATTGTTTCCCACTTTTCCCACTTGTAAATGAAATGTTCGGATTCCTCCAATACTGACTAGGCTAAAGCATGCTAAAGCAGATGTGACGTTTCTATACATTGGTTTGTTGCAACCTTTTACTTGTGCCGCTCCATGCTTTGAACAGCCTGATTGTGCCCACCGTCCAGTGGTGTCTTTAGTTTGGACCTACCGACCTAGCCCTTGAGTCCTTGAGGTGCGAAATGGATCCAAATGGCCAAAATTGAAGACTCGGACCACAGATTGTCGTTTTTAATCATCCAATTATTATAATTATTGGGGTATCCAAAAAAATTAACCATCCTAATTAACCTATTATTAACATCTATTAACCATCCAATGATTGGGTCCAATTTTGACATATTTTGACCATCCAACTCTTGGGGACCCGGAAACCCATGGAAAAGCGCCCCAAAATGGGGCAAGGGAACAGCATGCCCAGCATGTAGCCCTGACTGGGGAGGCTTTCAACTGACGGATGGCCCGAGAGCGTAGAAGAGCATGTTACTCTCAATGAAATAGCCATTTAATAAGGATAATGATCAGCAAAACCATTGGGTTTAGGGGTACACTATTTTCAGACACACCCATGTTACTCTCTTGTAAGTAGTATCAAAGACATTGTAGGTGAAAGCTTCATTGAAGATGATGCAGATGATTAGCAGAAAGGAGATAGAAATGCTATGTCAGATTCTAAGCAGAAGCAGACAAAGATAGACACAAAATTTGAGAGACCGACAGAGACAGACAGCAAAGAAACACATACACACACAGACACACAAACAAAGATACAGACACAGACGCACACACACTGCTTAGGATTGGTTTGAGGATGATGAATATAGAGCTTGCCGTCGCCTGTTCGCCTAAGCCGCCTTCATGCAAACGAAAACCGAATCGGAAAGGGGCTTGCTGAAAATGAACCACATTCTCGTGACAGCTTGTTCAACAGTTCAAATTATGCAGGTGCGTGACAAAGGCGTCCCTTCGTCATATCACAGCAAATGATGAAGCGTCTTCGTTGAGTGGTGACTTCATCATTGCTCACCACTCCCCTGCATAGTCGAAAGTATACCGTATGTATCCGTATGTGATAACGGATAACGGTTTTCACACACACACACAAGCCCCGAAGGGCAATTGCTAAGAAATTGTTGCCCTTTTTCTCTCACTTTGAACATGTAGTCGAGCCTAGCGGACCAATGAAGAGATCACAATAACTGAAAAACTGCAATGATAACAAAGGCACAATAACGGAAGAAACTGAAAAATGACGTTAGTTGAACCGAACATTCTTCTGCACCAGTTGCTCAGCGCTAGTGGGTTCTACACTAGGTATCATGAGCCGCACATAACGAAATCCAATCACCATGATGAGCTCCGCGTTGCACTGACAGATTCCGTAAATTAAGTGTCGGACCACCAAAGTCCCTTCTCAGGATCGTACCGGCGAGATTACTAACGTGTAGGCGCGGACCACCAACTTCACTTCCGACGATTGATACGACCACCAACTTCACTGACTATTACAACGTCCAGATCATAATGCGAACTGAGGGTCGGACAGTTGATGTTGTATGCGGCCAAGTCATGACTTAGGGTGAGGATCGGACAGTTTTGGATCATCTTCATCGATATACTGAAAATCGGATAGTTTGCTGGAATAAATGTGCAAAAGGGTCAAGTACGGAACATGGATGAGCTTAGAATCCCTAGGAATTGAGAATCAAGCTCATAAGAATCAAAACAGTAGCAAGCCTTGAACCCACGCAGACAGGATGTTTTTGATGAGTTAACGCATGAATGTATGACCGGAAATCAAATCAACTGGACAGTTAGCAGCATATGCAAATGGATAACGCACAATGACATGTCTTTTTACTGAACATACTTGAACACTTCATGTGCACTCAAATTCGCATGGACTTTATATGGATGAAGGTCATGGTGGTTTTTCGAGCACGTTCATCTTGAAGAAGAATGGGATCACGACTTGATACTAGACCAAGAAGATCTTGGAATATCTTGGAGTTGAGGAAGATGTAGCCGACATGGATACACACTCGTAAGAATTAAACGAACACAAGCCACCAGTCCACTAAGCGCAGTTCTGGACACGCCACATCTGGTACTGTTTCTCAGTGGTTTGTTCCATGGGAGTTGCAACGTGATAGAATTTTGTTGACAATCAAAGCGATATCCCAGCGCTTCGTCACCTGTCACATGTCCCAATAGATTGGGTTTTGTATAAAAATCCAAGCGCCAGAAAAGTTGAGCTCCCGGAGTTGCTGAGTCAAGTCCAGCATGAATCAAAATGGGATTTTCTACGTAACGATGGTGGAAACCCATGTTCGTCCGAAAAATACAAAACGAGGTATGAAAGGTCCATTCTCGTAATAGAGCGACTGCAGAACAGAAAATTGGTGCCCATTGCGATCTCATACTAGCACCACGATGTTGCTGGAAAACTGTGGACCCAATGTTAAAATAACTGTGCCCAGAACCTCCAACCTTTGTTATTTAGTGAAACCGTTCTTAATTAGTGAAACCTCTCCTAATCAACCTATCTTATTTAAGAGAGATTGCCTTAATTAAGAGTTTTCCTTTCTTAATTAAGAAAATCATCTCTAATTAAGGTAATATTTAAGAAAGGTTCTGCTATTTAAGGAAGGTTTTCTTAATTAAGAAAGGTTCCTTAGTAACAATCTTCCTTAATTAAGCTAACCTTCCTTAAATAATTTAAGCGAGGTTACCTTAAATGTTAAATAAAGGAGGTTGGAGGTTCTGGGTGGTTCAGTAAAAATCGACTTAAAGGACATATATATGATCTAGACGAATTGGTCGGTATTTCTGGCTCCGTGATCTCCAAAATCCTCGAAACGTCCGTAATGTGCGTTCAAGTGATTCTTGATGGACATTTAGAAATGAAGTTAGACTCTGACCATGAAGTTCACAGAAGCGGCAAACCGCAAAATGAATGGCTTGAAGCATTCGATCATGATCAACTTGGTTATAAAAACCTGCGATGTCTTCTTGGCGAAGCAACAGATCACCATAGGTATAGTCTTGACATGAAAAAAGTTGAGCTACAGATTGCAGTGCTGATCGAATGTCAGTGATTTGTAGCAAGTCAGAGTATACGACGTGTAATATTTCATGAAGAGCAGTGGCCAACGAACTACCCAAGGTCCGACACCAGGCGTTGGAGTAATCCACAATTGTGCGTGCTTTCTGAAAGTCTCGCGAAAGTTTGGGAAGGATGTAGGCAGTGCTGAGAGGATGTGAACTTGAAACCCCATTTGTACTGTTCTAAGATCCAACGCGGTAATTCCTGTTGAATTGTACGCGGCAAAGGTACGGGTAGCACTGAGCATTGAGTGAAAACTGTCGGATCCAAGAATGTCCTTTTCATCAACATCTGCCATTGTACAGGACAATGCAATGTCAGCGAATGAGGAAAATGATCAGAAGGTGATACCACAAAGGAACTCAGTTTGTGTTGAAGGTTCCGAATATGTCATTGACCTTGTCCCTGTGGTGTCTTCTTGAATTCATCCCACAGTGTTCAAAGAAAGTCTTGCCAATACTGAATTAACGAATGTGGTAATTTCCAACGTATTAACCATTGTTCGAATTGATATGTATTGTGATGAAGAAAACTGGTCCAAGAAGGTGCGATTTCCTCAGCCATGTGTTCTTGAAAAATGCTTTCATCAGGGTAGCATTCATGTGCGAATGCAGAAATATGTTCAGTTTTCCGAGGTCGTTGTTGGATGGCTATTGGAAACAAATGACACTGGCATTGAGGTTCGTCGTCCGGAGTCCACCATGTCAAAGTTGATCGAAAAGTAAAGAAGACTTGGCCCAATGTGCAATTGCGAATACGAACAAATGGTGCGCGTACTTTGTGAAAGGGAGGAAACTGAACAGCATGATGAAAAGTGAATCCCAACAGCCACCGCTTAATTTGATCATGCATTGAACCTGACAGAATCTGTAGGCGCATGGGGACGTTGCGGGGTGGTGGTCCCGTTCCTTTATTGAAGAATCAACCTGAGTTGTGATTGGCTTCTGGTACGAAAAGGTTCCCCCAGGTGATGAGACAGCCGCCAAAGCAAAAACAAATAACTGACATCCGTTTCATTGCGTAATCCTTAATAATTTTGATACATGAAACTTTTCGATTGTATCCGATCCCAACCGAGTCAGCAAGTTAGCTTCAGACGTATGAAGTCTGCGTCCCAAAAGACACATTTGTTCCGTAGGTGTCCGTTTCCGATATCTTCGACAGAACTTGCGACTCCGATCCAAGAACGGCTTGGTAAATACTGGACCAAAACTCTGCTTTACAATGTGGAACTTCTTCAATAGGGAACTGATCCACGGCCAATTGTACTGAGGTCGGTACGTAGTCTGAAAAGCGGTTTCAAGAGCACTCAACTGATCTGAATTGGTATGCTGCAGTGGAAAACAAGCGAATTGATAAAAAATGTTTAAATGGAACCAAATTTTCAACGCAGGTTCAAAATATGCTAATTGTTGATTGCAAAGCTGTCGATATTTGCGAACTCGGCTCTGTTCTCGGTGAAAAACAGAATGTTCTGTGGCACCTTCAATGTAAAAGTCGGCAGTGATCAAATCCATTCGCATATAAACAAGGGAAGTCTGCGTCCACCAAGTCCAT